CCATTGACTTAGTTAATTTTCTCTTTTCGTGTGATTTAACAAGAAATGTAGAAAATAGGCAACCTAGTATCCATATAGGCCTTATTTTGGCCATTTTGGATGAAATTGCGTCCTAAAACACTTGAATTTCTCTTCTAATGTGATTTCAAGCCTTAGCCGCCTATAACTAGGTAATAATGACATGTTAACAGCAAGAATGATTTGATTTGATAAGAAATGTAGAAAATAGGCAACCTAGTATCCTAAAACCCTTAAAATGTAGAAATTTGGTTCATTTTGAATGAAATTGCGTCCTAAAACCCTTGAATTGCTCTTTTAATGTGATTTCAAGCCTTAGCATTCTCTAAATAGGTAATAATGACATTTTAAGAGAAAGAATGAGTTAATTTGATGAGAAATGTAGAAAATAGGCATCAAAGTAGTCATATAGGCCTTATTTGGGCCATTTTGGATGAAAATGCGTCTTAAAACCCTTGAATTGCTCTTTTAATGTGATTTCAAGCCTTAACCGCCTCTAACTACGTATTAATGACATGTTAAGAGCAAGAATGAGCTAATTTGATAAGAAATGTTGACAATAGGCATCCAAGTAATCATATAGGCCTTATTTGGGCCATTTTGGATGACAATGCGTCTTAAAACCCTTGAATTGCTCTTTTAATGTGATTTCAAGCCTTAGCCACCTCTAAATACGTAATAATGATATGTTAAGAGCAAGAATGAGCTTATTTGATAAGAAATGTAGAAAATAGGCAAAGTCGTAGTCATATAGGCCTTATTTTTGCCATTTATGATCAAATTGCGTCCTACAACCCTTCAATTGCTCTTTTAATGTGATTTCAAGCCTTAGCCGCCTATATACCTAAGTAATATTGACATGTTATGAGAAAGAATGAGTTGATTTGACAAGAAATGTAGAAAATAGGTGAAGTAGTAGTCATATAGGCCTACGTATTAAATTTTTGCCTAACTTAAATTGTAAATGTATTTTTACATACATAACCTAAGTAATTAATTCCAACATAATTTTTGTTTATCCAAGTTTTGCAAGGTACAGAAGGAGGTCCATTGACGAGCAAGGAACTGAATGAAGTTCGAGACATGTTGGCGTCTTTCATCACATATAATTTAATTTGAACTTGTTAATTACATTAATAATTAGTATTGTTTGTACATATGACACTTTTTTTTGATAAGGAGTTATATATTCTTTTTAATAATTATTATTGTTTGTAAATGTGACACTTCATTGTATTAATTAATATCTATGTATTGTTGTTATTATTTCAATTTAGAAATTATTATATTATTATTTTATTAGTATTATTAATAATATTATAATAATAGTAATTATAATAATTATTATTATTGTTATTATAATATATATTGATGGTAGAATTAATGCAGGATGTGTAGGTTTTTATTATTATTAATATATTTATTTATAGCCAAAAAAATTTTTTAAAAAAAGGGGTTTTCGCACCGGTTTTTTTTAGAACCGGTGCTAAAGGTATTTAATTTTCCAGGCACGCAAGAATTTTGGCACCGGTTCTAAGCAAAAACCGGTGCGAAAAGTTCAGTTTTTGCCACCGGTTTTCCCTAAGAACTGGTGCGAAAAGTCCTTTTTCCCACCGGTTTTGAACCGGTGCGAAATCTATGGGGTTTTAGCACCCCCCAAATACAACCCGGTTCAAAACCGGTGGGAAAGGGGGGGTTTGAACCGGTGGCGAATTCGTTTTTTCGCCTAGTGTGAATTGGCTAATTTTATTATTTTGTTGGCTGATATGTTACCTGTTTTGAATTTCACGTTATCTATGTTAACTTAAATTTTATCTTTATGGCTTATATTATTCTTATGTTGGCTTAAATGATATGAATTATAGTTTTTACTTAGATTGGCTTGATATATTAATTTTTTCCCTTACAAAATTAAATAAATTGTTGAAATTATTATTTTACCTTATATGATAATTATGTTGGATAATATCATTTTTTCATTGGCTTATATGATTCTTTTTTGTTGGCTATTATGATTTTATTGTTTGCTTATATGATAATTTATATCAGGAATCAAGTCTTCTAAAAATTGAATAAGAAATAAAATGATTTCTAATACTTAGTAGATAACGAAGTAAATTTTATTACATATATCTAACATTTACTTAGTAGATAACGAAGTAAATTTTATTACATATATCTAACATTTTTCAGGATATGAAAATACATTTAAAAAAACATTAACTTTACATCATATGAAGGATAACTACTTTGAAGATTGTCCGGGCTCCCCATTATTCTTCTGCATTTCTTCCCAAATTCTTTCACTTTCCTCTGCAGCAGCGGCAATATCATCTTCCCACACCTTTTTCTTCTTCTCTTTCACAAGGTTTTCAATCTTGAACACTTCCATTGTTAGATCAATACAAAGCTTATCCTTAGCTTTGCATCGATCAATGGCTCCTTGTAATTGACCCTTGAGATAGCCCAATTGGATCTCCAATTGTTTTAATTCCTGCATTTGCTTATCAACCGAATCATTCTTTTTTTTTCATTTCGTGATGATTTTCCGTCTTCTATTTTTGCAGAAAAAATTAAATCTAGGGTTTTTGATGTGGGTACAAAAGGATATATTTGAAATGAAATTTGATAAAGAAAAGTATCCTTTATATAGGGGGGCGTCAAGTTATATGTCGTTTAGGGTTTTTTTTTCCAAACAATGTGTCGTTTGGTTTAGGTTAAGATATTTTTAAATAATATTAATATTTTATTTAAGATATTCTTAATAATAATAATATTTTATTTAAGATATTTTATTAAATACTTTAATAAATTGTTGAAATCATTCCTTTGGCTTACATGATACTTAAATTGCCTAATATCATTCTTTCTTTGGCTTATATGAATCTTTTGTTGGCTGTTATGATTCTTTAATTGGCTTATATGAATCTATTAAATTGGATTACATGATACTTAAATTGGCTATATCATTCTTTCATTAGCATATATGAATCTGTTATTGGCTTATGTGAATCTAATTAAGGCTTTGTGCTATCTATGTTGGTTGTTATGATTCTTTAGTTGGCTTATATAATACTTAATTGGCTTATATGAATCTATTGTTGTCTACTTTGTTATCTGTGTTGGCTAATTATGGATTATTTATTTCATTTAATGGCTTATAAGATTTTATTTTTTTTGGTGTATACAGAATTTTAAATTGTTGATATTATACCTTTAGCTTATATGATAGTTATGTGTTGCCTAATTATTGTTGATGTTAACATTATTCAATGTAGGCTTAAATGATACTATTGTTGCCTTATATGATTCTTATATGAATCTAATTATGGCTTCTATGTTATCTGTGTTTTACAAAATAATAATCTTTTCTAAAAATTATATCTTTGTTAAGTTTTCCAAAAGATTTTCTTCAAAAGATTTATTTTGTAGTTGTGCTTATGAAACAACAGTTTTATGATTTCTATCTTTTGAAAATCCTACTTTACATACGATTACTTCTTGTATATAAAGTAGAGATCATAATTTGCACTGGGTGTGAGTTTATGAGTGAAAAATCTGAAGAGTGCTTAAGAGTAAGTTTTCCAAGTTTAAAACTTTGTCATATTAGTTTCGGATTTCATGTGTAGCTTTCTAATCACTTATTAGAGTCAAGAGTTTGTATTGTTTTGGTATTAGGTGTGTGATTATTCTTTGCATACAGTGAGGTAGGCTTCAAGGTTGAAGCTGAGTGTTTAGTGCTCCGGAAGTACTAAGAGAATCTAAGTCCGGGACCTAGGTTGGGTAGGATAGGGTCCTATCGTGTAGCAAGTTCAGTCTGGAACTTGTGAGAAAGGTCTAATTGTAATAGGTTATAACTAGGATTGTTTTGGTCTATTATAGTGAAGTGTTTGAGTTAAAAATCCCTTGGAGGGTCGAGGTTTTACTTCCAGTTGGGCCCTGGAAGGTTTCCTCATAAAATCCTGTGTGCATTGCAAGTTCCTTTAATATACTGTTTTATATTTCTGCAAAAAAGTACCATTAGAAACCTTATACAATTCACCTCCGCTCTTGTATATATACTTTTCAGCTTCTATGATTTACTTTTGGAACTTTTTGGTTAACTTTTGATTAACTTTTTAGCGTTTTTTCATTAATACTCTATCAGTGCTACCAAAACTGAAATATAAAATTGGTTGGGTTTGGGTGGCAGAATGTTTTTGTAAACATTCAATTGGAAACTTAAAACTCAACATGTGTCTATCTCACCTTCCGGAGTACATGTATAATATTCATTTCTTGAGGTTTGTATTTGTCTTTCTATTTTAGCTCCGATAAACTTCCAAAGTCCAATATTGTGTTGAAAAAAAATGCAAAAATCCACACTATTCAACTTAGAGAACCTGCTAGAGTGCAAGTAGTTGGCACAAAACTTTTTTTTGAGTTAATATTATTTATTTACTTTAATGATATTTAGATTTACTTTTTAGCGTTTTGTATTTACTTTTCACTTCTTATAATTTACTTTTGAAATATTTTGATCATCTACTTTTGATTTCTTTTTTTAGTTATTTTGATATACTTTAAATTTTTCTATCTACTTTTGAGACATTATGATTTACTTTTAGAATATTTTAATTTACTTTTTACGAGTAGCTTTCTATATTACTTTTGAGATGTTTTGAATTACTTTAAAGTGTTTTAAATCATATTAGGTATAATCGTATAAGCTATACATGCAACATACATCTTAATTTGTATACCTTATAGGCTTATAACTAATTTGATTTACTTTTTAGCTATTTTAATTTACTTTTGAGATATTTTTAGTTACTTTACAATTTTTTTATTTACTTTTAAAGATAACCTATGTAGGAATCTAACCTTCACTTTAAAGTATTTTTTATTCACTTCAGACTTATTTTCATTTACTTTTTTCACACCAAAAATTCACTTTCTTTCTTACATAATCTCCATATTGGGGATGTCGTGGAGCTCACACATGTACCTCAAGAGTTGATTGATTACTGCACATCTCTCAAAGCATTGAGAATTAATAGATGCCAGATCTAAGTTTTTACAATCCCTACAATAATGCTGCAAGGATATTATAAATGTTATGCCTCTCAAGCAAGATGGTGTCTCCAATATACCTAGAGGAGTATTAACTAAAATAGTGGTCTCAAACAAAGAAAGTTCAAACTTTAAAGGATGAACGTCTGCATCCTTATTATCAACTGCGAAAGTCAAAACGTGGACATTTGGGTTCCCTTGTGCAATAAAGAAGGATGCATTTGTGTACATTGACAATCTTCCTGTGTCTGTGTGGATCAACCATCCTAGAAAACAATTTAGCCTGAGCAAGCCTATACTCTTCTTTTATCCCTTGAAAATCCGTATGGTCCCTTGACAAATTAGTGAAAACCGCAATATCAAAATCAACCTCCTCACAACAGCCACGAGCCAGCTCATTAGATGAGGCCTCCATCACGACTGCTTTAGTCCTATTGTGAAGCATCTTAGTCATCAACTTCTGCACCAAAATAGCATCAGGGTTTGCTTCTGGGGACTCAGCTTGTTATCACCATTTACATAATACGCAACCGAGCTCATCATCCCATTTCTCAACCCCATGTGCCTTCACACATAGTCTTTATAGAAATACAGGCAGTCGTGGTTTTCTCATGAGTACTTGTAATCCCTATCACCAACATATGCTTAGTCGGGCACTTAAAAAACGCTGCAGCTAGTAGGAAGAGCAGCATCAGTATCCTCCACAATCACTAATGCTTTACAACCAAAACTCTCCTCAATATCAAATCTCCTTGCTAGCAACAACAACAACAACTTTTATATCAGCCTCACTCAAACACAATGCCCATCAACCTCAGTATCACTCCCAACACAACACACATACAATCACACAAATACAAAGTTAAACTAAAAAAATATATTATACCTAAAAATTAATTAACATTCATTCACAATATCACTCAATTATTCACTTAATTAAATTTGAACTCAAACTCACAAAACATCACAAAAAATTGAGCAAAAATTATCTCGACAAATTTAAATAAACAACTCAAATTCAGAAATTTTACATAAACAAGTGCATAATAAAGTGTCACAAACGAAACTTGAATTTTATTCAATTTCACACATGCAGACTTCTACATTGCAACAAGACTTGATGAATACCAAAACTGAAGCAACAATTTCCAGTAAAACATTAGAAATTCAAATTTGCAGAAAATTCAAGTCAATTTACAGTATAACATTGACAAATTATAACAAATATAGGGACAAACTTTCTAGAATTCAAAGAAAATCGAAGATAGAATATATGATATGATTATTGTTTGAAAAAAACCTAAAAACCGATATGTACCAAATTCACAACTCTTACCTCAATTATTGAGAAATTTTGCAACAAATCCAGCAAATTGTTGAAACAGTATGTAAATTGTAGCAAATTCCATATAATCGAGTTGTTGATTGAGGTGAGGAAGCATGAAAATGGTTGAGGAGAACGAAAATGGCGTCCGTGAGAATGGGAGAGAAATGGGCGGAGGAGAGAGAAAATCGCGGAGGAGAGAGAATTCGTGAATAGAACCCAGCCGTTGATCTTGCGCGCGCCCCTCCTTAGATCAGACGATTCTGATTAATTTTGATTAGTTCCTAGTTCTTATTTAGAGCTAGTTCTCATATTATATATATATATATATATATATATATATATATATATATATATATATATATATATATATATATATATGAGATCTCGTGCGAACTACCTTGAATAATAAGAACTGCAAACTAATCTTAGCCGTTTATAGCATTAGATCTAACGGTTGAAGTTTCACCCGCCTCATTAATGGCATTTTTGTAATTTTGGGCGTTGAGTGACCTTCGTTCTAACTCTCTCTCTTTCTTACTTTCTCTCTCTACATCCGATCTCTCTGAAGGTGTTGAAGGCGATTTCATTGTTCGACTTTGCTCTTCGATTTCATCGATTTTCATCTTCAATTTCGCAACTTCTTCGCTGTTTTTTCCCCGTTTTTCCTTTTTTCCCTGTGATTCGATCATTCTGGAGAGGTAATTTTTAGATTTTTTTGGTTTTGTTTATCTTCTTTATTGATTGATCATATAATTAGGGTTTTTGCTTTGTTTTTGTTCGATTTCGTTGTCGATTTCTATTATTATATCTTTCTAAATGGTAAAATTCAGAACCAGAATTGGAAATGGTACTACTGGGTCCTAAAATTTAGGAATTGAAATTGGTTCCACCGATACCAATTTCGGTTCCGAGTACCCACTTATATACATACTTGCTAATATAAAATACAAATTATAATATTTTTTTTGGTTTATTTTCATTTTTAGCGTTTAATACTTATATTTTTATATGCATTTAAGCTTTTTTTACTTATGTTAGATATTAATATTATTTATTTTTATTTTACTAATTAGATACATTCAACATATTTTTTGTTTTTTTAAATATATTTAGTTTAATATATGTAGGGTAACCGGATACCCAACCGGTTCTGGTTCCAAAAAATTGAGAATTGGAATTGGAACGGGTGGCAACCGGGTACTTAATTTATTACCCGGAATTGGAACCACTGGGTCCAATTCCAATTTCGGACCCGCCGGTTCCTAACCGGTTTCGATTCCAATTCCTGGTACCCGGAAATTTTGCTCACCCTTAGCTGGATTGTCTCCACAATCGTTTTATTATAAGGTACTTGGGCTCTACGCAGACCAGAACTGAGTACCCGCTGTCTTCAGCTCCTTGCTGAAACTCGCATGTCAAGTTCTTGTGGAACTTGTTGTCTTCGACTCAGTCCAAACTAGTCGACTTAGCTTGTTGTCAAGCTCCTCTTAGGAAACTTCTTTTTGTGTTCCGGTTAGGGATCACTTCTAGTTCCAATGAGGAACACTTCTTCTATTCATTTAACTTTCCTTTAATTCTCCTTGGATCTTCATAGGCAGGCTACACTTCCACTTCCAAAGTCAACTTCACCTGTTCTAATTCAATAATTAGAGAAATCGCATTAGTTGAAGTTTGCTTTTACTCATCATCATCAAAACTCTTAAGCTTCAACAAGTTCCAATTGTATAGAGAAAATAAGTCATATATAAAGTAAGGCAACATGAAGAATTGAGCTAGTAGGCTAGTCTATATAAAACTTTGACAGTAAAGCAAAATTTACCCAAAAGTAAACCAAAAAATCTGAAAAGTAAATAAAATATCATATAAAGTATATATTCAATCACTAGGGGTTTCAGATCATTCTTAATTAGTTCAAATAGCCAAGCTACTCAAAGGCCTGAACATCAGCATTATAGAAATGCTCAAAAATCACACCAACAACCCCATAAAAACACCCCTATCTTATAATGACAGACTTATACAAAGCAAAATTCGATAAGATGTAGTGACATATCAGAAACTGAATTGCTGGCAACTTGAGTTAGCAGCAAAGTCAAAACCTTAATAACCTTACCCGAAAGATAAATGAGATAAAGATTGACAGTACATGAAAGACTCATAATAGCAACAATGAAAGACCAAGTTTGAATAAAATTATGTAAAGATCAGACATATAATTGTTTCCAATATTTGCAAAAGTAAGCAAAGAGAAATTTAGGATTACTCATCACTTGGGCAATGAAAAGTATGCACTTGAGCATCTGACATGGTTGAATTCGGAATGTCCTGCCCCAAAATAGCCAATCTGAAAATTCTTAGCAATTAAAACCAAAGAGAAGATTAGATATAACCACATATTACATTGCAACAAATGGTAATTATATACAGAAAAGAGTGATAAATAAAAACCAAACATAATATTCATTTCATTAAATAGAGAGACAAGGTTACATTTGCATGTCAATCAAAATAAAGCATTTGGTTAAGTATGCTTTCAAATATTGGTGTGCTTTCATCAATATTGTTTCAGATACAGAGTGTTGCATAATTTTAGGGTGCATTATTTGTGCTTGGTTCTCAAAAGTAAGCTATAATAACCGAAAAGTCAAATCAAATTATCTCAAAAGTAAGCTATATACTACCTCCGTTAACGATTATCTGCATCAAATACTAAAAATGGGTGCTAACTATTATTTTCAATAAAGGGTTTTCTTTCCAATTTTAGTAACATTTTTCTGTCAAAATGACCAAAATACCCTCACTTAATAATTATTAGCACATTCTACACATATCTACAACCCTAATCTAACTTAATTATCTAAGTTTTCCTCCAAACAAATCAGATATCTTGGCAGATTTCATCTCCCTACCATCTCTCTCCTCCATCTTCATCTCTCATCTTCTTCGATCTTCCAGTTCATCATCATCATCATCTCTCATCATCTTCTTCATTGTCATCTCTCATCTCAGTTCGGGGTGGCTGTTGGTGGTTCGCGAATAGTTGCTTCGTGGGTAGGAGTCGGTGGTGGTGGTTTTGGGCGGTTCGTGGGGATAGTTTATGGATGGGTTTGGTTTTTGGGTTTCAGATCTAGTGGTTCTAGGGTGGTTTGTGGGTGACTTTCGGTGATTTGCGGGTGGCATGGATGGTGGTTCGTGGGTTTTTGTTGGCGTGTGGTGGTCTAGATCTCCTCCTTCATCATCAAAATTTCACTCCTCCATCATGGTTTTGTGGGTTTCGAGGGTGGATCTAGGTGTCGGTGATTGTGGGTCCGGATTTAGGTCTAGGTTTTGTGGTGGTTGATTCCGAGGGTGGTCGGTGGCGTGGTGTTGGGTTGCGTAGGGTAGTGGGTGGCGTGGTGTTCGGTTTCGTGGTGGTGGTGGTTTAATTGGGGCTTTGGGGTTTTGGTGGTTGTTGTCGGTGGATTTTGGTGGTTGTTTTCATTGGGATTTGGTGGTTTTCGCTGGGATTTGGTGGGTTTGGTGGTGGTTTCCAGTGGGTGGCTGGTTTTCAGTCGGTTCGGTGGTGGTGGTGGTTTACTGTGGTGGTGGTGGTTTACGGTAGTTTTCAGTGGGTTTGGTGGTGGTTTCCAGTGGGTTCCTGGGTTTTCAGTGGGTTCGGTGGTGGTGGTGGTTGTTGTTTACGGTGGGTTTGGCGGTGGTGGTGGTGATTCTGGGTTCTGGGTTTGGTTGTTTAGTGGTTTTAATTAATTGTGGGTTTTTTTTATAATTGGATTAGTGCTTAAGTACATGCCCTTATATTTCAATAATCATGTTTAAAAACTTTTGCCCTAGGCCTCCGCGAAAGGTACAATTGATGCAGATAATCGTTAACGGAGGAAGTATATTCATTCATTATTGGAGACCTATGATTATGTTGTAGAGCAATTTACAACACAATATAATCAAGTATTTGCATCGTCAAACTTAAGGTCAAGAACAAGATTCATAAGCACCAAATGCAATAAGCAGAAAACTTGCATTGTTGAAATACAACTAAAAATATCATTATAACAAACATGAGATTCAATCCACATGACATACACTTAATAAAACTAAATCAAAAGAAAAACCTAAATCAAGAAAACACAAAATAAAATAAAATCCAATAATTCCAATCGAATTCCTAGTTACCGAAATTGATTTCTATATTCTGGACGATAAATCAATATCAAAAAATTATAATGGCAGTCCAAACAACAAATTCAAATTCAAACTTCTCTAAATTCTCACATGATTCAATCAATGTACTAAAAAAAGTATACTTATCTAGCCCAAGCCCTTAGCATGTCAATCGAATTTTCCCAATCGACAATCGCATAACCTAGATTTTTGTAAAAACCCTAATTTTCGCAATCAAAATCACAAAAGCATGTTTCAAAATCGAGCAAATTCAAAATTAAACCGAAATTTACATACCTTAACAGATTATCGCGAGAAATTGATGAGCAAAAGCGAAGAAATCGAAGAGCAAAGCAATGGAAGAGCGAAGGAAAAAAATCGCCTCTTCAAAGAACTGAGAGGAAGAGAGAGAAAAAAATGAAGCGTGTGCGCGAATTAGAACAGAGGTCATCCAACGCCTGAAATTACGAAATTGCAATGAGGCGGGTGAAACTTCAGCCGTTAGATAAAGCGCGATCAACGGTCCAGATGAATTCCTAATTCCTATAATAGACCTGGGTTCTCAACATGATCTTAATTATATATATACAGATAAAGGCTCATGAGAAGGGGATGTTATGTGAGAAGGGTGAGAAGATATGTCAACCGTTGGATTAGATTAATCTGATGGCTCATATCATTCATGTGTCATTAATGGCATGATGGTAAATATGTGAATTACTATGCTCAAAGTAGTCCAGCTGTATATGAGGTACACGTGCCTTGCACTTTTCTTCCCCAAACCTCTTTTTTCCTCCATTTTTTTGGCTACCAAGCTAATACGAAATATGTTTCATACTCCTCCATTTTCAATGCTATATTTCAACGATTTATATATCAAATTTATTTTATAGTTTACGATCAAATCTGATGATGTTTTTGTTAATTCTAAATGAAATGTTATTAATGTATCTGTAAAATAAATTTGATGTATTTATTGAGCATTGTTAATGTATCTGTAAAATAATTCTAATGTATCTATACAATTCTTCTGTATTTAGCATCTTATTTATTGGCTCATCTCTGCTTCTGCACTAGTGCACTTCATATATTAGCTTTAATTTTTTTATGCCATTTTCTACCAGAGTTATTGTTTATAGCTAG